GCTGGTTTCGGGGCCGACCCGAAGCCGAGCCACGGGTGGGTAGTGCACAGAGTGGAGGGAGACCACCCCGATCAGGACCCGAGCAATCAGATGATGTCCTACCAGCTTCTAGAACTAAGACTTCTTGAGTGTCACACGAGCTCCTCCGTTATCAAGCAGATGTTGCAAAACAAGCGCCTGGATTCACTTGTGCAGATCGTTGGAATCGTGCCAACATAAGCGCGGTGCTTTGCTTGCGTGGTTGTTAGGTGCCGTGAAATGGGCTTCCCACTCAGAGTGATTACATGTGACAAGAGTTTTCACTGCCCACAGGGTCTTCCAAACTGGTCTTTACGGGGCAGATCAGTAGGTCTTCCTTCCGAGGAGCTTGCTGGGTGGGTCCCAACCGCCGACCCTAGTCGCCGATGGCTTAACCTCTCTGGTCACCAAGGTTCCTTGCTTAGGATATGTGATTAAGTACCCTCCAGGTGGCATAAAATGAAAAGTTGCCCAATTCAGCACCAAACCTTGCTGTGTTTGAGCCCATTCTGGCAGCCACTGTTGTCAGCCTGGTCTTCTTGAGAGTCCTCCCCTTTCTTGCTGCCTTTACCAAGCATGATGCCCTCCAGGGACTGCATAGCTCACTGCCTTCCAGCCATGCCGACTCTTAGTGAGTGGCACTGTAGGACAGGGTAGAACTGCCCCCTGTGAGTTTCAGAGACTGTAACTGTTGTTGATGGAGCAGAAAGCCCGGCCTTTCTCTCCTGGAGAGACGTGGTTTCCCACCGATGATGTTGAGTATTGAAGCCCAAGGTGTAACCACTACGCCACAAATAGTAGATTCTCAATGTTGTGTTTAAAGATGAAGCCGTCTTTTATGTATCTGGGGCAGACCCATGCCACTGAAGTGTTTGCTTGTTTTTTCTCACTTATAACTCAGAATGCTTCTTAAAAGTGTGGATGGCAAGATTTCATCTCTCTCGCTTCAGACATTTATCAGGGAGGGACCAGTCCCTAAAGAAAGGCATCGTGCTGGGTCAATTAGAAAGTCAGGGGAAAAGAGATCAGGGAGAAGGGCTGATTGACACAGCAATGGGCTCTCGGGTGAGCACAGTGCACACCGATCGCATGTGAGTCCATTTTTACTGTCTTCAGCCCAATATTGTCTTCTGTTTCACAGGAGCACTTAAAACGGCCCTCATGGACAAAGATCGTCTCTTCCCTCCCTTCTGGAGCAAAGGAGAAGGAAGGGAACCCAAGATTGGAAGGAGAAGTGGGAAATATCACAGGACTCATGTCCCACTGGAACCAGGAAAACTAGAAGAAAGTGCCTGCTACCATTATCCACTGTTCCGACCAGGGACACAATAGTACAGAATTGCAGAATAAAATGCAAATTCGTGAAAAAGGCCAGACTAACTGGACAGTTAAAAACTAGAGAAACCGTTTAATCTGGGACTGAAGTCACCCCAGAAGGTCACCTCTAGCCAAATATTAGATTTGGCCTATAAAATAAACGATAAGAGCCACGAGGAATGTGCTCCTGTGAACAACTAATTACAGGAGACCCGACAGTCAACATTGACACCAAAGCTAAGGCAAGTGGCAGGGAGACAGAGTGGAAGGAAAGGGGGCAGCCGGGCTCAACAACAAGTGGGAGGAGTGCTGGCATATCACAATGGTCACAGAACAATGTGCACACAGATTGCTGATTGGGACTCTTAATTTGCTATTGAAATTTTCACTTCAAACAATCGAATACTGATCAATAAATATATATTTTAAAGATTGTTTTACACAGCTAGAAAGATAAAAAAGTTAAGAAAAGGAAAGATCAATGTCAATAATTTTTAAACAACCGCTTTATAAACAAAAAGCAAACAAACAAAAAATTAAAATCCTGATGGTTGTAAGTCTGTAAAAATGGAGACAAGGACTACCTCTTAGATTTGAGAGGATTAGGTGAAGTAATGCACATAAATCAGTTTTTTTAACTGTAAAACATTGTACTTTTAAGTTTGTAATTTAACATTTAAACAGCATGCACTCCATGGAAGGAGCCCTGGTGGGGTGTGGTCACCCCCTGGGCTGCAAACCGCTTGGTCGGCAGTTTGTAAACCACCAAGACTCCATGGCAGGAAGTTTTGGTTCGTTTCTAGCTGACGGCTAAATGCCCGTCTAACTTTGAGAGTTTCTACTCCTAAGTAGCTTTTGGATGCTTTCTAGGAAAAAAAAAACACCGTGAGGTAGCCACTGGACTACAAACTTAAATCATTACCATTATATCTCCTATGTATCAGTGGAAACAAACGTAGAGCAGGCGGGGAAACAAAGCAAGGTATAGAACACTGTGATATGCTCTCATTTGTGTTTTGTTTGGGAGGATACAAGTATATTTGCAAATACACGAGGCATCTCTGGAAGAATACACAAAATCCCTGTCACAGTGGATGATCAGGGACGGGCTAGGGTGGCTGGGAGATAGAGATAGACAGAATTTTTTATTCCCTATGCTTTGACAGCTTTTTAATTAAGTGCTATTTAAATGTCATGCCTATTTTCAAACACGAAAAGATACCGAAATTAATAATAATAGGAGAGAATATTTCCCTCTTGTCTATAAGTTACATTTTGGCCAAGAAGTAAACTATGATTCTTTTTATATGGGAACGCTTTGAAAATTCATGGGAAAACAGAATTAAAAGATAATGGAATTTTTCCAAGAACATTTTGAAGCCCCTTCATATACATATTAATAATACATTTATCAATGGCTTGCCATATGCTGGAACCACTGAAAATACTTTAGATTTATTTTAAAAATCATTTATTGGGGGCTCATACAATTCAACACAATTCATCCATCCATTGTGTCAAGCACGTTTGTACATATGTTGCCATCATCATTCTCAAAACGTTTGCTTTCTACTTGAGCCCTTGGTATCAGCTCCTCATTTTTCCCTCCCTCCCCCACCTCCACCCCCATGAACCCTTGATAATTTATAAATTATTATTATTTCATCATATCTTACACCATCCGACATCTCCCTTCACCCACTTCTCCGCTGTCCATCCCCCAGGGAGGAGGTTATATGTAGATCCCTGTAATCTGTTCCCCCTTCCTCCCTCACCTTCCTTCCCTCCACCCTCCTGACTTTAGATGTTTTTAACTCTTTTAACTCTCCCACAGGTTAGAAATAGAGGCACAGAGAAGTTGAATAATTGGCCCGGGTTATATGATTTAGGAAATGTGTCAGAGCCAGGATCTATCTGAACCCAAGGACCCATGGCCCCAGCACATCGTATCTCTGCTTCATACTGCCTTTTGATTAATACATAATGAACCTGCAGTGGTCACTGGAAATGCTCAACTTTTATCATTTTAAAATTTACGGCAGGGAATATGTGCCATTTAATAACAAAAATACAACAAAACCAAGGAGAAAGTGAAAGAGTTCTAGATAAATGAAAAAACTTTTTTGTTGTAATAAACTCCTCTAACGCAAAGCACCTAGTTTTGCATCCTACTACATGCAAAAACCCTAAACAATCTAATAAATCATAGAGCAATCGACCATTCAAGATCAAAAGGACACCCTTTGCCAAAGGACAAAGTTCAGAAGACAGGAAGGATTGAGCAAGACAGAGGACTGGGAATGGGGACGCAGGACAGAAGTGGGGTCAGAGATGATGCACCACAGGGATTGCAGTCCAGGACAGGAAGCAAATGGGGATGGATTATTGGATAGAAAGCAGATCTGCTCCGTATGAAACGTCACCCAATTCACAATAAAAACTTTCAAATAGTGAGCCGTGGAGACTGGGTTTCAACAGAAAACATAAGTGCGGGGCTGGAGACGGGCCCGGGTCGGGCTGGATGCCAGTGCGCTGGGAGTTGTTGTTTCTTAAGTTCAGGCTGTGGAGGCTGGCTGAGGTTTTCTCAGGCAGAACTTGGAGGAACTCAAGATGTAAGCCCGTCAGGATGACATCCCTCAAATGCAGGGTTTTTAGCTGGCCGGTATCCAGGTACAAGGACAGGTAGGTCAAGTCAGACTCTGAATGCAAGCCACTCACAATCCACAGCGCCTCCAAGGGCCTCCTCGAACAGCTGACCGCCTGGTGCAGGCAGCTTTCCAAGAAGAGGACAGTCCAGCTGGAGGTGCTGGGGCTCCTGCAGGCCAGGCAGCCAAGATTTATTTTAAACAGAGGAGTGAAAAATAGAAGTTAAGACCATCCAACTGGGCAAGTAGCTCCTCCACTTCCTCCAGTGACCTGGAACGCCAGGATTTCATGATGATTCCAGAGCGAGAGAGTTTGCTCCAATTAACCACGCGGCCCAGGTAAGGAGCAAACCAGTCCCAGGTGAGCAGGATCCAGGACAGTTTACTCCTGCCTCTTAGACAGCGTGCCGTGCCGCTGTACCATTTTCCCGGTCTCCTCCATCATTTCAATTCAGAGTGGTCTCAACACCCTCTAACCTCCTACAGCGCGGGGGAGGCAGAC